CAAATTTCCCAACAAAAGAACATTTTTAAAAAGTATATTCATTTCCGGGCATTTTGGTGTATGCTACAACTATATTTCAGCGTATTTGATTTAAATATAGCTTTTTTGTGTAACACTCTTAATCAGAATTTTATCAAGGGGAAAAACCCCAACAAAATCAGTTCAAAACCCCAAGCAGATAAAGAGTTAAAAACTTAATACACACAGGGCCTACGTACAGTAACCTACAGTGATCAAATCTAAAAACCCCTGGATTACACATGGCTGGATGTCCTGTTCTTCTCCACACCCCCCCCTCACACACACCTTCCCCGTCCCTTTCAAAGAGCATGATTCATAACTCATATTTCTGAATTCCTCTCCCATCTATAAACAAACCTGTTTCTGACGTAAGCAATTCATAATTATCTCCTTCAATCTACAATAAAGGATCTTACAGGCAACTTGAAAAGGTTTATTATCAGAATTATCTGGTATTTTTACAAATGATACTTGAACTTGGAAGCTGAAAATTAGTTAAATTATTAGGCTCAGTAGGCCTATATCCAGGTAACCAGTACAACACATTTGTCATTTCGTTCATATATATGAACCATAGTAGGTCTTATTAAAAATAATACATGTTAAAAAGCCGCTACGGACACAATTTAAACCAACTAGGAGGGGGGGCTGTGTCCCATACAGTACAGCCAGGGCTGGCTTTGTCAAAGCCAACCCTGGCTGTATGGGACACATCCCAGAATATAAGACAGGGAAACTGGACAAAATATCTTTCAAAAGTAAGATGAAGAGAATAGTCATTCCCCCTCTGATGCCACCGTAAAATTTGTTTTTTTCATCATTTATCGACAAGACATTATTGAATTTACCTCTCTAATTTCAGTCTTCACAATACCCTCTCCCTTTTCTGGGTAGCTGAATTAATGACAATAATATATAAACCCACTTGTTTGGAAAGTTCCCAGGCCCAGAATGACTGCAATAGTGCAAAATAAGAAACTATTTAAACCCAATGTTATAGACAGAAAACTTTGAGTACAAAATTTAGCAAACACTCAAATAACCTGCGCACACTCAAGTAACTCTCTCTGACAGCAAAACAATTGGGTGCTGTTGTTAAACTGAAAGCAGGAATAGCTAAAGCCATGACTATTTTCTAGAAAGAGAGCTGTAAACTGGAACTCCTGAGTAAAATGAATTACATAAAAAGGTAAAAACTTTGAACAACAGGTACTTTAACCCTTTGAAGATAAATCCATTTCATTATATGACATGTCTAATTCAAAACAGTATAAAAATTCGATTTTTGCCCTCAAAAGATATGTAGGTCGATATACATGTATAACAGATCATCTAAGTGTACTTTTGATAGGCGATTTGTGTTGATGCATATATTCATTTGATACTCCAATTGCAAAAAAAGTTCCAAATACAGTAAGGGCAGATAAAGAGTGATCTACACACTTCGAGATGTGCTTCTTCATGGGACGGAGCCCTTATAAATGGGAATGCCCTTTGTGCAGTGATGTCGGTCCTTCACACAAGTAAACAAGTAAACAAGATAAAGAGTGATACTGTGGCCGAGGTAGAGAACAAATCCAAAGTGTGAGGCAAGGCAAAACTTGTAGTTTTGTAGGTCAATTTTATTTCTGATTTCTGGTAAGTGTTTTACGGCACTCGCAGCTGCTTAAGGTCATATGGACGCGCGGGACACATTTAAGTTAATTTAACGTTATCAGTTGGTAAGAAATTTTGAACTTTCCTCGGGTAGCAGACGAAGCCTACTCTTAATACTTTTATATCTATTTCGGACAACCAAGGGTCAACTATTTGTTACCGGATGGTTCAACAAGTACTCAAAGCATTAATGTATAGTACTGGTACTCTGAGAAAATGGTTTTGATGACAATTAGTTTCTTCACAGATACATGTAGGCTCACTAAAAAAATGCAAAAAGTAAAAGAAAAAGCTGTCAATCTGGTTGTATAACAATTTATAAAAACTGCCTCAGGCTGCAACAAAATGGCTCTAAAAAATATATTAAGGAGGCCTATACAGTGTCAAAGAGAAATGTACAAAACTAGTTTCTAATGTGTCGAGTTGAGGCTGAAAAGTGACGAAAGGTTGAAGACAGCCTGCAAAGTAATGCTTTGATCACTTTGAGAAAAGGGACAATAAAGATAGCAAATAATGTATTACATTTTGAAAGGAAATCGAGGAAAATGTGCACTACTTTTTTAAAAAGAATTGTGAACAAGTTGGCATCCTTTATATTTGATGAAAGTTTTACAACTATCATTATCTCTGGAGTCTCTATAACACGACGCGAAAACATTCACGACTTTCCTGGAAGAAAACAGTGCCACCTGCAGATTGTACATGCTAAAACACAAACTGACAGGATCTTTGATCACAGTCTCTTGCCTGATATCCATTCCCACTTGCGTGAAGTAAGAACAATTTGTGTAATGTGCCTTTCCCAAGGACACAGTATCAGACACCTGATGGAATTTGAACCCACAACCTTACAGTTGAGAACCCAATAGCCTAACCACTAGACCACTGGCACCATAGGAAAATTGTCTACAAAAAATTTATGTCTGCAAAGGAATGAGTATCTGTACAACAACTATGATATGAAGTCTTTTCTCTTAAAAAGTTGTTTAAACAGAAAAATGTATCCTTTCTCTCCTGATACATGTTGTTCATTATCTTTCCAATACCAGCAGAATTACCTATCATGGTATAGCACCATCATCTACCCAGAAGTAATGTAGGCGGGGGGGAGGGGGTGAAAATGAACACAATTAAAAAAGGTTAAGTACTTAATCTCTGTGATGAAATACTCTGATGTATGGCCATCTACATTCAATCTTTTTTGCTTTGGAAAGCATTATAGAGCACTTACAACATAATTAGATCAAATAAGTGCAGAAGATTAGTGGTGCTGTTACAAGACAGTTAGAAACATAAAAAAGAAGGAGGAGGGATCAGGACGATAGATGTTTGATAGGAAAGAAGGAGCAAACCATACCAGACCACCCGCCAACCAGCCATTAAATCCTTTTTTACAGGTAGAGAAATGCACCAACTTTATCAAGTCACACCAGTGGCTTTGAAAAGAGAATCAACTTTGTTTTACTAAATATTGTAAACAACATCAACATCTCCATTGAAAATAAGCTGCAGAGTTGGCCTATCATATAAATGCACCTTCCTTAAACATTTAACAACAACAGAGGAATTTAAAAAAAAAGAAAAAGAAGAAAAATAGTCATCACATCAATAGCAAAAGAAAACAAGATGGCAAGAAAGATATACCAATCTTAGACCCTCAAGATTAAAATCTGGAATGAACTAAGATAAACTGTCCCATGTATTAGAATTACACTCCTCATTTCAGCAAGGCTCAAATTGAAATAAACACTAAAAGCACACTTCAGGAATAGAAACAACCTTAAGAATATTCACCAAGCCAGCCCCAACCTTGCTCTTTGGTGTAATCGTAATAACTGCAAATATTTCAAAGTTTCAGGATGCAAAATATCAGACAAAAATTGTCAAGGCACAGTTAGTGAAGGGCTAAAAGGCAAGCTACCTACGGAATAAAAACACTTCCACTCTGGAACTAAACTCCTGTCTTCTCTACTATGCAACAGGGAAGTGCCTAATCACTGCACTACAGACACTAGTTGCTCTAAACTCTGCTAAATTTAAGCAAATGAATGACAATCATGATTCAACCATGATTTCCTTACGACAAATAGCTTTACTTCCAGTTTTAATAAACATGTTGCTACCTCAGAAAATAAGTTTTATCTGACATTTTTGGCTGTTTCGAGCTACTAAGACCACGAGGTCAGAAATCAAATGTTCTATCTGCTCTATCAAAATCGTTAAATTATTCTGAGTCTTTATCAAAATATTCAAAGAACTGCATTCGAAAAAGCTTGAAATATTGTGAAACTCAAAATTTTGTTCGTCAAATTTCTCAAAACTAGGTAGGCTACTGAGCAGACAGAACTTTGCAGTTCTGAAGTAGCGAAATTGTAACTCTTCATGAAAAGTCGCAGTATCCCACAGCCGAGGACAACACAAGCATGCATCTCCCAAGCTCATACACATGACAGGGTTCCTGCCACAAACTCCCCACCAAATTCAAGAAGATTTCAAGGAGAAATTTTAAAGATTCAAGGATATTTGGTCAAGAAATTCGTTTTTGACGACGTACTCGCTACACTTGTCCAAAAGAAATTGTACTTTCTATTGTCCAACAAAAAATTTGTTCATGTCCGATCCGGCAAAATTCAAGGAGTTTTCAAGGAGGTTCCTCAATTTCAAGGAGTTTTCAAAGAGAATTCTCCTTGAATGCAAATACAAGGATTTTCAAGGACTTTTTGAATTCAAGGAGGCCGCAGGAACCCTGAAATAACCACGAAGCAAACAGGAGCCCAAATAATGATAGGAATGATAGCCTCGTATGGTACCTTTTGTAAAATAGGAAAGGATTCCAAGGCTTAACACAGCACAAGTTTCAACATCAACCAGGCAACAAAATATCTGGCCCTTACACACGCATTTTATATTTTTTAAAAGGGCACTTCAAAGTTCAAAGAAAAAAATTAGCACTCCATTGTGAACATCTTGACATTTCATACTAAAAATGAGCATTTCGTACTGTAAAACGAGCATACCTTACTGAAAATGTGCATTTCACTAAAAAGAACATGCCATCATGAAAATGAGCATTTCACACAGTAAAATGAGCATTCCTTACTGAAAATGAGCATTTCACACAGTAAAATGAGCATTCCTTACTGAAAATGAGCATTTCACACTGTAAAACGAGCTTGGGGTCAGGAAAATGAGCAGTTCACACTGAAAGTGAGAATTCCTTACTGAAAATGAGCATTTCATACTGAAAGTGAGCATTCCTTACTGACAATGAGCATTTCATACAAAACAGAAACAAACAATACAGTTCAAATACTTTTCTTTTCTTAGACCGGATCTTTCAAGGACCACAAATGAAAGGACATACAAAAATCATTTGAACACATTTTTATCTTCAGGTGGAATCTTATCATACAACATTCAAATGAGCGATGGAATCAGGAAACACAACGCCTATTTTTTTTTGGTGCTTAAGTAAGTGTTTTACGGCACTTGCAACACAATTAGGTCAAATAAGTGCCGAAGATTAGAGGTGTTACAAGATAGTAACAAATACGAAAAAGAAGGAGGGGAGATAAAGACGATAGATGTTTGATAGGAAAGAAGAAGCAAATCCCACCAGAGCACCCGCCAACCACCCACACACAATGCTTGTCTCAGATCCTGTCTCCAAAGCATATTCAATTATAATACCATACGAACACAACATCGAGTCTTCTTTTCATATGTCACAAAGTATTAAAATGAGTGTTTTCTATTGGTTTAGACTGAATCCTCCTGGAATCCAACATAATACTCAATGTCAAATGAACACATTACCAATTTTTTCTATGAGTAACACTCAAAACAGAGCATACAAATGAGCATGATTTGGAAGCTATTACTGATACAAATTAGTTTTTTCCTAGATCTCATCCTTCCATGAATTATACTTTCTTTAAAATGCTTCAGTAACACATAAGCACAAATTTTCCTCCACTTGAATCGGGTAAATTTGTAGTTTATGTTTAGATCGAATCCTTCCACAAATTGTTTTTTAAAAAATGCATCAGAGTTATAATGTGAAAATGCATCAGAGTTATAATGTGAAAATGCATCAGAGTTATGTGAACACAGGTTTTCCTCCATTCGAGTCGGAACTATTGGCTTGCTTTGCACTGGACTCTGATTTACAGCGAGGCCTCATCTCTACCACACTGTCTTCCTTCTCAAAGTCAACAACTGTCGTTCCATTCGGCGCAGCAGGTGATCCTTCTCGGAAACCAGCCAAACTTCCATGCAGCTCCACGGGGGAGGGTTGTTGGCTTTTCTCGTCGTAGCTCTTTGGTGCCGGATTGTCTCTAGGAGACGGAGTTGACGTAGGCGTTGAGGAAGACTTGCTCGTCCCAACACCGCTTACGTTGACGCTGATATGCCGACTGCGGAAACTTTTGGCCGGGCTGCGACCACTGCGGTTCAGTTTGTTGGGTACAGCTTGCATGGAACTGGGCTGGATGACGTACACCATGTCTCCATTTCGGAGTTTCCTCTTAGGAGTTGGGTTCACGATCACGTACGATAGAGCTTTGGGGGGTTTTGAGATAACATCTGGTCCAGAAGAGATGGAAAATAAAAAGTCAACGGTTAGGAGTTGATATTGACATTTTATGAAAAATTGACTATTTTAATTATATGGATACTTCTCACACTGCCTTATTTATTTCTCTTTCCCATATTCGAAAATTCATTCTTTCAAATTTCCTTTTTTTCTCAGCTCAACATCTTTCAAGTCCTTTTAAAATAAAAATGCATTTCTGTGTAGATGTTACTGAAAAACATTCACAAAAAATGTAAATTTCCAATTTTCGAGAACACTCAAGCTATTGCAGCCATTCTTTTGCTAATTTTATCTCTCATACCAGTCAAACCCCACCACCTTCAATTGCAAATATCTCGACTTCTGTTAAGGATAGATGGATAATTTTTTCATCAAAAGCAAGACAAATGAAAAAGCTTTAAGGTGATATTAATAATTCTGTAAGCCCAAAAATTGATGAGCGCCTGATTCCATTATGTTGTGAAACATTTGGTTTTCTCGCTACTCACAAGGCTCATCGTCATCCGCAAGCTGCAGGCTCTCCATCCTGGCTTGGACCATCTCTTCCAGGTGTTGGTTGCTGTGTTTGTCTCGCTCGAAGAACCCAGCACCAACAGACATTCTTGAGCTGCGCAAACCCTGACGCTGACTGTGTAGGTGACTGTGGGGTAAGTGAAAGCCGTGTCGCAAACTGTCGCGCAAACCGCTCAGTTTCTCTGGCTTGATGTTGTTGTTTCCGTTACTTTCTGTCGGGAGCTGGATAGACCGTTAAAAAAAAAAATTAGTGGAAAAACAAAACACTTTCTTAATTGGTTAGAGGTGAATCAAATCAATTTCTTAATCTGACAGAGGAGAAACAAATCAATTTCTTAATCCGATAGAGGAAAAGCAAATCACTTTCTTAATCCGATAGAGGAAAAACAAATCACTTTCTTAATCTGATAGAGGAAAAACAAATCACCTTCTTAATCCGATAGAGGAAAAACAAATCACTTTCTAAACCCGATAGATGAGAAACAAATCACTCTCTTAGTCCGATAGAGGAAAAAAACAAATCACTTTCTAAATCCGATAGAGGAAAAACAAATCACTTTCTTAATCCGATAAAGGAAAAACAAATCACTTTCTAAATCCGATAGAGGAGAAAAAAATCACTTTCCTAATTGGTTAAAAGAGAATCAAATCACTTTCTCAATTGGTGCATTGAAAAAGAATAAATCATTTTTTTATTGGCGAGTTGAAAATCAGACTGTTTTGCTAACTCTCAAGATCAGAAGATCAGAAATTCAGTTAAAAAGAAATATTGTCCCAACCCTAGACAGAGAGACCCAAAACTTTAGGGGGAGCCTGAAGGACCTGTGGTAAACAGCAGCCTTTGCACTAGAAACTGGGATGTCCATTTAAAGATGAACAAGAAAGAGGAGAAAATTTTTTCTATATTATTTGGTAGCTTTTAAGGACAAGCGAGCTTACCCAGATTTCGAGGGTTTCTAGAAATCTTGACCTACACCATAAGTGTGCATTGCCCTACCTTTAGGAGAAGTTTGGTTTCATCGGTGTGTATATTTGTTTGGTTATAGAGAAAACTCTCCTTGTCTTTTAACGAAACCGAATATGGGGTAAAAAATTTTCCTTCGATTTTCTCAAAACAGCATTTTTCGGGATAGCCCCATTGTGCTTAAAAGTGACCATTTTCCTGTTTACCTCTCCCTCACTGGAAGACGACTGTTTGTCCGTCCGGAAGATGGCGATGGGGATCTCCCCTGTGGTGGAGCACAGGCCTTGGTACAGATCACCGTATGTTGGGAACTGGGACAGAGTGGCACGACGGATCCGAACCTGTCGAGAAATCACAAAGGTGACTGCTACAGAGGGATGTGGACTATGTGTCGTGACACGGAGGAAGGACTATGACAATGACAATGACGATGACAATCTTTATTCATCTCGAGGAGAGAAATTTGTCTTGGTCATTTACGATGCTTAGGTGCACTTGGCCGCTTGTCAATTTTTGGGCATGTGGAGGTATTGGTATTATCTGAAAGCTTATTCATTTGCTTTGCTTTCACTAAAAAAAATACCCATCTATCTTGAATAGAAGTCGAGATATTTGCGATTGAAGGAGATGGGGTCGCCTGGTTTCAGTGGTAAAATTAGCGAGAAAATGGCCACAGAAATTGGATAATTTCAATAGCTTGAGAGTTCTTGACAATGATGCAATTACATATTTTGTGCCTTTAACCAAGCTTTTTCAGTATAATTCTCATGGAAATGTGTTTTTATATGGACGCAACAGATGTTGAGCCAAAAAATGAAAATTCAATAAAAATTGTCAAACTGGCGGAAACATGCCTGTTTCTTTGCTTTTATTATTTTGACAAGCACCTCATTTCACCACGATGCCTCACATATAGCACATACACATTTTGTCAAAAAGTGAAAGGGGATAATGATTGTAAAAATTTTACATCCCATCTGACAAACTTACAACAGCAAGCAGGAGCAGTGCTTCAGCTCCGTCTGTCAGGACCAACACGAGTTGTTGAATGGGGCAAAGTATCCCAGAAGATAGAAAGAGACACTCAATGAAATAGTTTTCCCATATATGGAGATTTTGTTATGTAAGGGAAATAATTAGACCTGCTCATGCTTCATTTGCTTAGCGCGACCTTGGTTATTAAGTTTTTCCCTTTTGTAGAAACATTTCCATTTGGTTTATGTCATTTTCATCATCATAATATGTCATGTTTGAATTTTATATCTTTGCCAACGTGTACCATTAGACTGGTGTTGTAATGTTCTAAGAGAGAATGACTGAGACGTGTGAGTGTCAATTATTGTGAAGGCATGTAATCTGTGACATGTAAATACCCTAACCAGTTGTGTAGATATTGGTCCTTAAATTACATATTTACCAAAAATATATAGCTTTGTTATGTTTGACCCAATACGAGACTCCTGTAAGTTTTCGATTGAAGTTCAAGTTAGCTGTTAGTCTATCTAGACTCTAGTTGCAACGTTTGAAGACTTAAGAGGAATTGTGAAGAAGCTACCATTACACCACATGTTGGTAAAACTGGGATAAGCAATAAAACAGTCAAACAAATAGTTGATATGTGCACATTGTTCGTGTTTCGTACCATTTCCGATGAATGTTTTTGTAACCAGTGAGTTCAGCACAAGATTAAAGGACTGGTGAGCCAGTGAGCAATTTCCCTACTCAGCCGGCAAACGTGGAAGTCGAGTCTGTTCTTCTTTGTGTACATGTTGAACCTAACAGCATACACGCTTACAAACATAAATAAATTGTATTTACATAATTTCTAGTGCATATACCTGTAAAGAGCCTTGTACACATTACACCATAGCTGCTGGCACCTTCATTTCTATCTATACCATACCACCTTAAAAAGAAAGTAGAACACACAATATTCAACGGGAGAGAGATAAATAACTCACACTTGACAAATGTCCCGAATTCTTCTCAGCATCGATCCCAAGCAAAAGCCGGACAAAGCTAATGAGGTAGCCTTTCACAAACGTCTGGGAAAAAATGAGAAAACACACAAAATTGAAGCACCTGTGAAGACCTTGGTGCTACTTTTTGAATACAAGACACATCACTCACTAAGAATAGTCTCAAACACATAATACTGCAGAACATCTCCACCAACACTTTTGAAGAAATCTTTTTAGTATTTCTAATAGAGGAGTGAACCATACTGTTGTAATAAAGCATGAAGAGTGGTGTCGGTGGCCTAGTGGTTAGGCTCACAGACTCGCAACCGTATGGTCGTGGGTTCGAATCTTTTCAGGGGCCCGACATTGCGTTCTTGGGAAAGAAAATTTACACAAATTTTCCTCACGTCACCCAGGTGGGAATGAGTACTCGGCTATAGACAGTGAAAGATCTCATCAGTTTGTTAGAGTCTGAGTGCTTAATCAGCTGCTTGCACTCTATGCTTCCCGAGAAGCTGAGAATGTTTCTGAGTGTTCTACGGTCTGCTGGGATATATCATGTATGCTTCCCGGGAAGCTGAGAATGTTTCGGAGTGTTCTATGGTCTGCTGGGGTAATAATATAGTGTAAAGCGCATAGAGCCTGCTGTTGAGCGGGGATAAACGCTATACAAATGCTATAATAATATTGTATTATAACATAAGGTGCATAGATCTTTCTTTCAAGCAGGGAAATGAGCTATACAAATGCCGTTTATTAATTATATTATTATTATTATTATTATTATTATTATTATTATTACTGACTAAACACCATGGCTCACCTGGTACAACAACCTGTCCAGCATGCCAGAACTAAACACCTGGCCAGCAGCAAACGGCAGCCGGAACATGTAGGGCAGGTTGGTCACTGCTCTCTCCTTCAGTCTCTGCACAAAGAAAATAATTTGTCAAGTGATAGTTAGTACAGGTCTCTTTTACTGGGAGTTCATTCATTAGATGAAGAACTATCAAAATAAGTTCACTTGTTAGGATTTAATGACAAGTTTAGTGACGTATATCATGTCAATTTTAGATTTGGTACCAAAAAAGGGCCTAGGTAAAGTGGGTTTACCCCCTCCCCCCCCTCACCCTACCCATCAATAAAAAAAGGTCTGGGCATATTTTTTTTCTATAAAATCCTTACAGTTATGCATTCTTAAATGGACATACAGGTGTTGAGCCAAAATTAAATATTTGATAAGAATTGCCAAATAGATAGAAAAATGCTAGTTTCTTCAATTTCATAATTTTGATGAGTGCCTGATTTCTCTACGCTGCCTCACACATTTCTTTTCTTTCTGTTTGTTGCTTTTCAGTTTACCTCGTTTTGCTCTGCACTAGAAAGCTATTGTGTCAATGTACTCTCTCCCTCCTACCTTGCTGGTGAATGGAGGGTGCACCTAGCAGTCCTACTTCCATTCTTTCGCTCTTTGATATGCCTACCTATCCTATTTGTCCGAGAACCAAATAGCCATTACTTCATTTATGTGCTCTTCTCTATTCACACCTTCTCCAATGAGCATTTCTTAACCTTTTCCGTACGCCTTGAGGTCATTTTGTACCCCCGGGTTTGTATTCTTCACATTTTTTTGGAATACTTCTAGTGCGAAGATCTCTTTGAAACTTTCAGTATTTCTCAAAATATTATTTGGACAGACTGCTATGCATAGCGTACGGATCGGATTAACGAGTAAATTTCCTCTTAGGAAAGTGGAGGCACAGAGTTTCTCATATCGTATGGATATGATAGTAAAACCCGACATACACATAGGGCGTCGGTGGCCTAGTGGTTAGGCTCTCGGACTTGCAACCGAAAGGTCGTAGGTTCGAATCCTGTCAGGTGCCCGACATTGTGTCCTTGGGAAAGGCACTTTGCACAAATTTTCCTCACTTCACCCTGGTGGAATGGGTACCTGGCTATAGACAGTGAACAATCTTGTCAGTTTGATTGTGTTTGAGCTCATGAAATCCGCAGCTTGCACTGTATGCTTCCGTGGAAGCCGAGAATGTTTCTGAGTGTTCTCAGATGGTCTGCTGGGGTAATAATAGTTGTAAAGCGCATAGAGCATGCTCTTGTTCATGGACATGCGCTATATAGATGCAATTATTATTATGTTAACCTCCAATTTCCCCAGAGCATTTCTTAATTTGCCTTCTCCTATAAGCATTTAAAAAAGTTTCCTTCTTCATTATATATATTCTTGATCTATCTTCTCCAAACACGTTTCTTTTCTTAACTTACCATCTTCAATAATAATTTCTAAACTTGTAAAAAGCAATTCTTGACCATCTTCAATAAGCATTTCTTACCCTACCTTCTCTTTACACAAACTCGCCCCTACCTTCTCCAATTTTCGGATCTTCAACATGTAAGAGTCCTTGGCCTTGAAGTGCATGAACCTCATGTTGGATGCTTCATTCACCTCAGTGATGATGTTTACATGTGGGAATAACCTGCCAAAAAAAACCCAAAAGATGAGTGAGATCAGAAAAAGCAGTTTAGACTAAATCAGTGTAACAACAATGTCATATCATGCGCATTCAGATAAAGGCATTGAATGCATCATTCACGTGAGTACCATGCAAGACAGTTATTCACCTCTGAATAAAAAACTGCTTAAACACATGTGTGCAAACAATTAAAGAGTGAACAACTATGTGTGTACCACAAAGAACTGGTCTCCAATTGTTTAACTCTTTCCTGCGCTGCTTAGTTGCAACGAGGCTCTTACAGCATTATAAACAACCCATCACACCCCCTTTCCTTGCAAATTATCAGATCACGCAGCAGCAGATATGTACCTCTAAAAACAAAGAAAGAAAGATATGAAAGAAGTTTTTTACCATCTAGCATAAAGCTATTGTAAGAATAAGTATGTGTATCTATATAACTCCAAAGGTCTTGTAATTAAATTCCTGCTTGCGGTTGAAAGATGCATCTGATGTGATATGTACATTTTTCAGCTTTACTTCTCTTTTCGTATTCAATTTTATTGAGAGTAATATTATATAATTAAAATGTTTATGTATACCTCCATGTGTTTTTAGGGTTCTGTACAGCCAAGAAAAATTTCCCTCTGGGATAAGTTTTAACACTTACAGTACCAAAGGTTCATATAGTGAAAAACCCTCAAGTACCGCACCAGTTTAGAACGCTGAAGCCATGGCAGAAAATAATTTTTTTTTCAAACCTTCACAGCCCAAGAAACACACAACCCCCCCCCCCCCAAGCGTTTCATCAACCATTCAGCTATCACATAGGGTGACTTCCTTAGGTTGGTATTTACTTCAGTGCACAGTGTTCGTTGTTTAACTCTTTCACTACTGTGAGCTGTGTTTCACAGCTCGCCACTTCCTGCTTCAAAACCAGTCCTACTTTTGCAACAATCGAAACTGAAATCTCAGGCTGAAGAAGGATCATTTTTAGCAACATGTTGAGATAGGTCATTATTCCCCCTTTATTTCCATACATAATACAAGTGGTTAATATTGAAAATTGATCTTTAAAAACCTTTAATTTATCCGACTACAGGCAGAAACAGAAAATAGGTCACAGATAGGGCCCAGTCCAGTCACCTGTGAGGAAAACCCCCCCCAGTAGTGAAAGAGTTCAATATGTACAACTGAGCTGGACATTAGAGTCACCCTCTGGTAATGACACCAAGCTACAGGCTAAACGACAAAAAGTCACTCACAGGACTAAAAGTGTTAATCTGTTACATCAAACCTCAGTCACTGCTTGTAACATCTAAACAAGACAGAAAGCCTGGAACAAAATTGTATTTTTTTCCGTAGCACTCCTCTCAGGTGACTTCGGAAAGGAGTTTCAATATATGTGTCAAGACATGATGGAATAAGGCGCTCGTCAATTTTTGTGCTTGTGGAGTTTTTGGTATCATCTTAAAGCTTGTTTATTTATCTTGCTTTTGATGAAAAACAAATACCCATCCATCTTGAGAAGAAGTGAAGATATTTGTGACTGAAAGAGGCAATTGCACTTGATTTCAGTGGTAAAAATAGCGAGAAAATAGCAGCCAACGTTGGTAACTTCAATAGTTAAAGAGTCCTTGTTTCTCCAATTTTCTTATTTTGACATTTTGACAAGTGCCTGATTTCACTATGATGCCATACATATTCATAAAAACTTTGACCACAAAAAATGCAGAACTTGACAACCTCCCCCCCCCTCCCCCATCATTTTTTCCCAAACTAAGTCAGCTTTCAACGATTTATATTATAAAAGTAAATGGCTGCATTGTGCACTTTTAAAATATCTGCATGTTTTGCAAAGATCAAATCACCTGAATATTTTCTGCCCTGCGATTTTTCCTATTAAAAATATCTGAATGTTTCGCAAAGATCTAATCACCTGGATATTTTCTGTACGGTGACAATGGTGGCAGCATCATGCAAGTTTTCCTCGCCGCCAGGCCCAGCCTCCATGTGGGAGATGACAAGGTGCATGGCTTTGTTCACCCCGGCTGTCAGCAGGTCATCCAAACTGTCAGAAACGAGCGAGGAGAGAGAGAGAGAGTGAGACGGTGAGAGGGTGAGAGTGAGAGAGAGTGAGAGAGAGGGTGAGAGTGAGAGAGGGGGTGAGAGTGAGAGAGAGTGAGAGAGAGAGAGAGAGGGGGAGAGAGAGTGAGAAGGTGAGAGTGGGAAAGAGACAGGGTGAGAGAGATAGAGACAAAGACAGAGACTGAATAAAAAAACAACTTTCAGATTTACATGATGAGAGAATAGACAAAGTTAGCCCATAGTACTAGTACATGTACTAAACTTACACTATTTCAAAGACATGTTGACGCCTCCATATTTATTCATGACCCATAATTCAACCCCAGAATGGTTTTACACATGTAGAACAAAAAAGAAATTGCCAAGAAAAAGCAGTAGAAATTCGGCAGAAAGAGCCAGGAGCCCAGAGTAGAGGACAAAGGAGGTGAGGGGGAGGGGGCAGAAAGTTGAGAAGAATGAAGATAACAGAACTATGTTAGAGAGCAGGAAAGGATGTGAAAGGAGAAAATTTGAGAGAAGAAAATTTTCTGTCGCTACCCAGATTCTAACCAGGGACCTTTGAATGAGAGGCGAACACCTTAACCTCTAGGCCACGAGAGCCCCCGTGACAAGGGACCGAGAATTTCATCATTGAAGAAATCAACAAAGTGGGTATAAGAGTGGTAACAACACCAGCAACAAAAATAATAATGACATGAACAACAAAAACAACTACAACAAAAATAATAACATCATAAGCAACACAAACAAAAACAAAAATAGTTACATCGTTAACAACAAAAACAACAAAAATAATAACAACGTGAACAACAAAAACAACACCAAAAGCAGTGTCTGACAGTCCACTTCCAAGAAACAGAAACTCATACTTGTTCACAGTGCCTTGCATCCAAAACACCAAGGGGAAATGGGCAATGGTCTCCAGGAAAAATCTTGATGGCCTGTGAATGTGAAAACAAAACGAACAATATCAGAATGAAAGCCATAAACTGTTAACAGGCTGCAAACCTCTCTCTTGCCGGTTCAAATAAATTTTAACAAAGAACGTTTCATCAACAGCACCTTGAGAAAATGTGCAACATTTTAGGTATGAAGTGCACCAGACCAAAATAAAAACAACCCCAACACAACAGAAAAACTTATTATGACACCTAAAATATTAAGAAAGAATAAAATAACTGGAAAAGAGCCTGCACAGCAGATAATAAAAACAAAGTAAGAAAAACAAGACCCATTTAACAAAGCAGAAAAAGATGATACTTCACATTCACATGGTTGCTTTTAAGCACAAGGGAGCTATTCCAAATACTATTTTGATAAGAGCGAAGTTAAAGGTCTTGTCCTTTGTTCAGTTTCTTTAAAAGACAAGGAGAGTTTTCTCTATAACATCCCGCCCCCCCCAAAAAAAACACACCAAAAAAAGACCCCAACAAAACAACAACACACACACACACACACACACCCATGAAACCAAACTTCTCCTATAGGTAGGGCAATGCCCACTTTTGGTGTAGGTCAAGATTTCTGGAAACCCCCAGAATCTGGGTTAGCCCGCTTCGCTTCTCCTTAAAAGCGACCACATGATACATGAACATTTGAGCCACAAAATAGGAGGAAACTTAAAATAGTGAAACACAGAAAATTATTAACAAAGCAGCTCAAGGGTGAGTCAAAAGAGATGAAATTCCTTTAAATAATGTTTCAATACTAAGTAAATAAAAAGGAATAAAACTAACTAAAGTTTTCCATATTTCTTGGATGGCACACTAACACAGTGCTGAGTAAACAAAAAGTAAAAAAAAAAAGGGAGTAATTCACACTTTTTAGGCCTAAAATCTTAATGTCACAGCATTGAGTATGCAACAAAAAACAAAACAAAACAATAACAACAACAAAACAAAAAAATAATTTTATAAACCCAAAGAATAAACCCCAGCAACAAAGTAACCACTTGAATCATAATGTCATAAGACTATGTAATGAAAAGGGGGAAGGGTGGGGGGGGGGGGAGTGGATAGGTGGAAGAGGGAAGGGTGGTTGCTGGAGATGGGGAAGGAAGATGGGTGAAGGGGGGGGGATTCAAGCTACCTCTACTTCTTAAACCAAGAGTAACAACACTGAGTAACGAAAACAAAAACCAAAAGTAACGCACACTTTTTGAAGCATAAAATTACAACACTGAATAAAATAAGAGAAAAGTGGTGGGGGATTAAGCAGCCTACGCTTCTTGAAACGTAAAGTTACAAAACTGTGTAAAGGAAAACAAGAACCAAAAGAAAGTAACTCACACTTCCTGAAACATGAAGTAACAATATCGAACAAGAAAAAGGCAGGCAGGAAAAATTAAAGCAGACTACAGTTCTTGAAACGTAAAGTCACAAAACTGTGTAAAGTAAGGGAAAACAAAAAGACAACAACCCAGAAGTAACTCACACTTCTTGAAACATGAGGATGATGGGGCTGAGGGAGAGCAGGCTGAGGTACTTGGACCGTAGCGGGATGATGAAGTTGTAGAGGCCGGGGCACGAGCGCCGCACAGACAGGATGACCAGCTGGTGGTCCCAGCGTTTGTCTGAGGCCACTTTGTACTGGCAGTGCTCGCACGGCTAAGCACAGCAGAATGGAATGGAATGGAATGAGATAGAGCGGAGTGGAATGGAATGGGATAGAGTGGAGTGGAGTGGAGTGGATCGGAGTGGAATGGAATGAGATAGAGTGGAGTGGAGTGGGGTGGGGTGGAGTGGAGTGGGGTGGAGTGGAGTGAGGTGCAGTGGAGTGGAGTGGAGTGGAGTGAAGTGGAGTGGAGTGAAGTGGAAAGGAGTGGAATGGAATGGAGTGGATTGGAATGGAATAGAGTGGAGAGGAGTGGATTGGAATGGAGTGGAATGGAGTGGAATGGAAGGGAAAGGGAAAGAGTGGAGTGGAGTGGAATGGAATGGAAAAGAATGGAATGGGACAGAATGGAGTGGAATGGAGTGAAGTGGCGAAGAGTGGAGTGGAGTGGAGTGGAGTTGAGTGGAATGGAAAGGAATGAAATGGAAAGGAATGGAAAGGGATAGAATGGAGAGGAGTGGAGAAGAGTGGTGTGGAGTGGAGTTGAGTGGAATGGATAGGAATGAAATGGAAAGGAATGGAATGGAAAGGGATAGAATGGAGAGGAGTGGAGAAGAGTGGAGTGGAGTGGAGTTGAGTGGAATGGATAGGAATGAAATGGAAAGGAATGGAATGGGATAGAACGGAGTGGAGTGGAGTGGAATGGAGAGGAATGGAATGGGATAGAATGGAGTGGAGTGGAGTGGAGTGGAATGGAGAGGAATGGAATGGGATAGAATGGAGTGGAGTGGAGTGGAGTGGAATGGAGAGGAATGGAATGGGATAGAACGGAGTGGAGTGGAGTGGAGTGGAATGGAATGGAATGGGATAGAGTGGAGTGGAGAGGAAGAGAAAGGAATGGAATGGAATGGAATGGGATAGAGTGGAGTGGAGTGGAAAGGAATGGAATGGGGTGGAGTGGAGTGGACTGGAATGGAAGGGAAAGGAAAAGAGAAGAGTGGAGTGGAGTGGAATGGAAAGGAATGGAAAGGAATGGAATGAAGGTGAACAGAGAGACACATGGTATGAAATGATATGGAATGAAATCAAGTGAAAAAGTATAGAATGGAATGAAATGAAATGAAATGGAATGGAAAGAAATTGAACGGAAAGACACGTGGTATGGCATTCATGAAATGGTTTGGAATGAAATAAAAATAAACTTATGAAAAGGAGTGGAATGGAATGAAATAGAATGCAATGAAAGGGAATGAAAGGCAAGGGAATGAAATGGAAAGACAAGGAGTGGAACACAATGGAGTACAATTTTACAGGACAAAAACTAAATCAAATGAAAAGGAATTAACAAAGGTACATGTTATTTCCCAAGGAAGCAAAAAAGAAAAAGGCTAAACACTCAAAAATGAAGGTAATTTTAAAAAACCCACAACAACAAACGATGGGATTCCATGAGAAAAATAATAATTGTCACACGATTAATCAGCATGTATTAAAAACATATTTGTAAATTTAACAGAAAAAAACCCAACTGAAAATAAACAAATTTCTTTATTCACATCAGCAAACACTATAAAAACAGAAAGGGCAACGACTCAAACATTAACTAAAAAGTGCTGAGCTTTTCATTTGAGTAGAGGCAGAAGAACACTCAAACCAACTAAGAGAATAGATTCTGCTGCATTTTTTTGTTTTTACATCTTTTTTTTTCTGGAAAAGGTTTATGGCGCTCGCAACTGCGTAAGGTCACATAAACGAGCGGAACACATTAAACATTTTCAGTTGGAAAGAAATTTTGAATTTTGCCCAGGTGGTGGCCGAAGCCTACTCTTCATCAATTTTGGACCACCAATGGATCTTTAACGTGCACAACTTGCACACGGAATCCCCATCTGGAAATTGGGAACAATGTGTCTTTTCCACGAACGTTACCTTGCCCCATTCTAAGCAGCAAAGTGACCGTGAGTCCTTGTGTAGGTGGCAGAGTGTGCGTCTTGTTCCCAGATTGAGTGTGCTCGGTGGTGGTCCAATGGTGAAACTATTAAACACAAAAGACATAAATATTGTTAGAATGACACATTAATTAGAGGATGGGAAATAAATTCAGAGACATATGTAGTTGATTCTTTTTAAAAACAAAAGCAGTTTTCTTAATAACCCTTTGGTTTTAGGAACTCATTAACCTTCACTATTAAAGTGGTAATGATTCCAAACGTATTGATCATGTCTCTCCTTCGCAATACATCAAGGTAGTGAAGATTTGAAGGGAGGAAAAGTAGTACTTGGACAACCGAGTTCCTCTAAGTCTACCAACCAGGCAAAGCTGTATCATGCATACAGCATTAAGATAATTTGTCAAGATACAAAGGCATTGCAAGGTGTTAAACTTGTCATAAAAAAGCAGTGAGTTTGATAAACGGGTTGGAAAAGGGTTTTACTCTATTTTCCTCAGATAACCTACAGAATGGGTGCAAAGCACTTTACTGTGTTGTTGTCTGTACCAGTGTTATAATCTGTACAATACCAAACTGATATAACCTCTGAATCATTTTATTTTATGTAAATGTTGAAAATGCCATTGTAACCAAAATTAATTACCAAAGAGAGATGAATTTGAGCAATTTTCTTTGCTTTTCTTTATTTCTCCTTTTAAGAATAAAAGTGATATATTCAAAGGGAGGGGAAAAAAACACCCACCTTTCCTGATCGAAATCAATCATTTGTTGTACAATTTTCGAGGGATAGTTGGTGGCACCTTGAACACGGTCGAACGATTCGACTCGCTCACTCATGTTTCCTCCGCCACTGTCCGTGCTGGAAAATCTGGCATTCTCTTTCTCCAGTAGTGGTAGGGCTGTGTGACATCATCGCAGAGAACCAAGCAGTCCATGTGGAAAAGGGGAAGAATCGTTTTTTGCTTAAGTACAGGTTTTACAGTGCTTGTAACTGCAAAAGGTCATATGAGCGCCAAGGGGTGAATGTCAACAGAGAAGTCCTTACATGGAATCAGGCTTACTCTGCTCACCTCTCTAGCTTCAACAGCACAAAGTCTTCTTTGACTATCAAGGCACCCCGGAAATAGCGGGTCACAAGAGTGTGACAAACATAAAAAAGAAGAGGGAAAATGATGTCAGTAAGGATTAGGAAAGAAAAAGCAGGAGTTCCCTGCTGCAGTTCAGGTACAGTTATGAGCATGACATTGATGATCAGCCGATTTACAATTACAATTCTACTGCGCATAAGAACATGGTTATTGTCCCCCCTTTGGAAATGACCTAAAGACACTTCAGTCAACGTAGCACTGCCCTGGGGGATGAGGAGAAGGATCAGAACACAGAGATTTTTATACTTAGCAATTTCTGAAATTATTTTTCTGAAACGTAATTAGAACATTTATGTAGCACCACGGCGAAATCAGGCACTCGTCAAATAATGAAATCGAAAAATCAACATTTTTGCCCCCATTTGGTAATTTGTATTCAATCTTTTTTTTTGGAACAACATCTATTAGGTCGAGTGGAAATCACATTTCTGTCTGGATCAGACTTAGAAGCGTTAATTTAAGGCACAAAAAAAAAGCAAATTCCTAGTTTCCAAGAACTCGAAAACTTTGAAAGTCACCAAGTGTTGGCAGTCATTTTCTCGATAATTTTATTTCTGAAACCAGGCAACCACCACCTCCTTCAACTGCAAATTTCTGAATTTCTGTTCAAGACAGATGGGTTTTTTTTCACTGAAAGAAAGAAAGATGATCAAGCTTTAAGATGAACCAATAACTCCACACCCAAAAATTGACGAGCGCCTGATTCCACCATGTTGTGACACGTTTGGCTGTCTATTTATAACTAGTTTGTTTGAGTACAGAGAAGCTCACGCATACAAAAATGATCATTTAGAGCTAGAAAAAAGCCTGATAGAACTCTGCTGAAAACGAACCAAACACCTTTTGCCTCAGTCCTGTCTACCATCAACATCAACTCAGAGATCCGGCTTTAAAAATAACTTATCACACTGAAACGGAGGTTAAATTTTTAAAATGCATTATGTACAGAAAAAAGACAAGGTTGAAGTCTAGAAATCACAACTCACAGTGTAATTCTCCCCGCTAAAAATATACTTAGAAGTATAGAGGGATATAGAAAGGTAAAAAAAGCACGCTACTAAGGAAAAATACAATATTATTATGTGTTAAAGAGTTTTATAAAAGTAAATGCAACAATTATTGAAAAATAAATGGTAAGTAGATGAGTGAATAACTTGATAACAACTCACAATATTACTGAATAGTTGCACAAATCACTTAATAAGTTTTTTCAAAATTGATGGATGACGGGTGGATAAAAACCGTTGGATGGATGAAAGGAGGTACAGATGGATGGAAGAACTGATAAATAAATAAATAAAAATGATAAAAATAATAGTTTGCATTTATATAGCACTCTATCCCACATGAGTACAAAAGCTCTGAGCACTTACACCGATCACATGATCACTGAGCGGTAATACTTAATTCACACTAGATGAAACATTTCAGTTACAAGAAAACCAATTCAACCGCATAAAGAAGAACTTTCTCAACATTATATTAATTATATACATATAAGGACAGCAGTAGAAACAAAAGCATATCAGCAGTTACTAACACACTACAACTGAGAATCAAACAAAATGAGTCTAAAGCAGTCGCTTAAAAAATGCATTAAGTTTTGCTATTTTTCTGATAAACTCAGAGATGACTCACAACCAAAGAGGTTATATGTGAGGCATCGTGGTTGAAACAGGCGCTTGTCAATTTTTGGGCATGTGGAGTTATTGGTATCATCTGAAAGTTTATTCATTGGACTTGCTTTCTATTTTTTTTTTTAAATACCCATCTATCTTGCCTAGAATTAGAGATATTGGTGTTTGAAGAAGATGGGGGGGGGGGTCACCTGGTTTCAGAGGAAAAATTAGCGAGAAAATGGCCGCCAAAGTTTGGTAACTTCAATATCTTGAGAGTCCTTGAAAACTGAAAAATTACATATTTGTGCCTTTAATCTAATAAAGGTTTTTCAGTAAAATTTACATGGAAATGTGTTTTTATATGGACATAAAAGGTGATGAGCCAAAAAACAAAAATTCCATAAAAATTGCCAGACTGGCAGAAAAATGCCTGTATCTTTGATTTCATAATTTTGACAAGCACCTGGTTTCACCACGATGCCTCACATTTATATATTACTATAGCTCGCAGCAGTGACGTCACATAAGTCAGACATGGGGGCCTTCTTACCTTCATCAGCATTTCCGGCGTTCCCCCATTAATATGAACAATGTGAGCCCCCACCCCACTCCCCATGAGCTCTAGAGTATTAAACACCGCCCTGCCTCCACATTTCAGTGCAAGCTTGTAGATTTCTTCCATTGGCCGCCTAGACGCCTCCACGTGAGTCTCGGAAAGTACTCACTGTCTGTTGAACTGCACGTCTTGCCCTTGAGGTTCAGAGGGAGACAACTCTAATACTCTTTGCCAACGACACAAGGCCACAAAACTCACCTCTAAACCAAGCCAGAAACTCTAGTGCTAAATAGAACCTCTTTATGAGGGGGACATTGCTGTCACGAACTCTAGTACTAAACAGAACCTCTTTATGTGGGGGACATCACTGCCACGAACTCTAGCATTAATAAATAGAACCTCTT